AAAAAAAAAAAAAAAAAAAAAAAAAACAACTAAGCAATCCAGAGCCAAATCTCTTTCTCAGGCCTTAATATATCAATAGGTGATAATCTTCAGCCTTAGTCATCCCAAGGCCAGACACCAAGCAATCAGTGACCTCTGTAACCCAAGGTCCTCTCAAATTATTCAAACTAGTTAATCCTAAACTGAGAAGAACCTGTAAAGTTTACCATCCAGAGGAACAGGATCACCAAAACAACTGAAACCGAATGACAGGACTGAAGAACATCTTCCCTCCCTACCCCTACCCCACCTTCCCATCACATTACTAAGGTGCTTTTGTTCAGTATGTCATGTTTGTCTATCATGAAAAAAATAAGAACTAAAAGACAAAAATATTTTTTGAAGAGACAGCAAGTTTCAATATCAAGCTCTGACACAGCAGAGATGGTGGAATTATCATAATAACTACGAATTTCTAATAAACTGCATGGAAGAACGGGTAGTAATGTAAGCAAAGAGATGAAAATTCTAGGAAAGGTCCAAAAATAAATACTAGGTCAAAAACATCACAACAGAAATGCAGAATGTACTTGGTGTTCTTCTTGGAAGACTGGGCATCACTAAGTCAAGAATCTCTGAACTTGAGAATGTCTCAGTATAAACAACTGAACTAGAAAACACAGAGAACAAAGATTTAAAAAGTAAGACAAGAGTTGTTGAGATAGCTCAGGAGACTAAGCACCTGCTTCAGTAAACATAGGGACCGGGACTCGATCCCCAGTACCCCATGCTGCACCTGTCCCACCCTTGGGCGCATTCAGCCAGCCAGGCAGTCCAAGTGTGGTAGCCCATTCTGTAATCCCAGCTCTGAGGAAGCTGAAAACAGGAGGATCACTAGGAGTCAGAGCTACATAGTGAGAACCTGTACAAAATAGTTCAAATAAATGAATAAATATCTAAGAAATATGGAGCAACTAGAAAAGTAATAGTATAAATATCAGATGAGGAAAGGTAAGGAAGAATACACCCAGAGCAAAGGCCCGGCACGAGAGACCACCCGGGGACCGCCAGATCCTGAAAAGAACCAGAGCGCAGGCTTGGCGAGTGAGTGAGACAACCCGGGGCCACTGGATCCTGAAGCGACCCAGAGCACAGGTCCAGGGTATGAATGAGACCACCTGGGGCCCACTGGATCCTCATTCGACCCAGAGTGTAGGCCCAGTGTGGAACCCTTCAGCAGAACTCCCTGAAAAGACGCTAGGGAAGAATACACCCAGAGTGCAGGCCCTGCGCTCTGGGTGTATTCTTCCTTACCTTTCTTCATCTGAAATTTCTACTATACTTTTCTAGTTGCTCCATATTTCTTAGATATTTTGTTATTTACTTATTTAAGCTATTTTGTACAGGGTCTCACTATGTAGCTCTGAGGCAAGACCCACCCAGCTGATTCAGGAGCAGAACATCTTGCCAGAGAGACATAAAGGGTTCAGCTCCAACGGCTGCAGCTGAAACAAGTGGAGCACAGCAGCCAGATCCCAGCCAGATCCAAGCAACACCCACCTGGAGGAATCTGAACTTTGTAGATCTGGACCTGGTGTTAAATTTAAGCTCTACACCAAAGGTCAGAAGACTGTGGTATACAAAATGACAAAGAGAAGGAACAAAATGCAGGCCCCGAGTTCACCCAGTACAATTGCAGAAGACACTAACATAGAGGAAACTGGAAATCACACACCTGATATCTCTGAAATAAAAGTGTTGGAAGTAAAGAAACAACTGCAGAAAGATATAGAAAAAATCAGATCAGAAATAATTTCGGAACTAAAAAATGTAGTGATAACTATAATCAAAGAAGTACTAAGTACTTCTAAAGAATACACTGATTAAAAAAAATAGAGCAGAATATAAAAATG